CGTGCACACCCTTTTGCGCCGCAGCTTTCTGCCGACAGCGAAACTCTATCGGCGGAAGAAACTCAACGCTGGGCCATTCCTCCAGTGCGTGCTCGACGCCTCTAATTTTGCTCTCATACACGCAATAATAGTCATAATTGTCTGACGATTGAGGCATCCCGTGTGATATGAGTAGATTGCGTTGCAAGCTCTGTTGCGCTGCATCCAGAACCAAGAGGACGAGGCCACAGAGACGCTAGCAGCCCGTGCCATGGAGAACATGACCACGGTTCCCACGGGTGTTCATGTCACAGCTTTTGCCACCAATGAAGTCGCCTTGGCTTTGTGGACTTGCTTGGCATCAGCCAAAAGCAGTGCCTTGCGCCGTAGTTGTGCCTGTACCTTGTTTCACATCTGCCTCCTCAGCCCAGCGCTGGCGGGTCATGTCGTGGAAAAGGCTGGCGCCAATGCTGTTGTAGATTTACTACAGGATAACAATGCTCGCGTTCGTCAGGCCATACTTTCCGTGCTTGGCGTACTTTTCTGCGGCGAAGGCGATCAGGGTCGCGCCCAGTCGGCACTGCTTGAATGCCAGCGAGCCCCAAAGCTCTTGCTCAGGTTGACTCGCTTGCCAATTTTTTTTTTTTTAATTGTCTGGCGTGGTGTGAGCTGTCGGTGTCGCGCCGTGCCCTCACCCCGTTGAAACACGCGCATCATCACGGACAGGTGCCTTCACGTCGATCCTGAAGTCAACCAGGCGAAGACGCTTTTGCTGATGGGGGGTATGTATGCCGAGTGTGCTGGCGTGTCGTCCGAACTTACAAATTGGTGATCTCGAATAATCTGGAATGTCTTGCCCTGGGTCATCGTGGCAGGCTTGCTCAAGCGCTCGGATGGCATTCTGGACCAGCTACTCAAAGGCAACCTGTGGACGTATCTCAGTGCTCTTAATGAGGACGATCCTAGCCTAGCCAGACTGGGGCAGGCCGGGGAAGAAGAACCCCCGCCCACGGACAGTGATGCTTTAAAAGCTTATCGACTGCGTGCAGCAGCTTCATGCCTGCAGCAAATCTGCACATGGGCCCGGCAAACCACGCTTGCTCTTGCCTCCGTCTATCGTGCCCTGGTTGGACGCAAGCACGCTTCATCGCAGCAAGCCCGAGAGATCAAAGAGCGGTTGACGGCCATCACTGTGCTGCCCGTTGTGTTTGCCCACCCCTTGCTGCACGTGGAACTTGGGCACGCAGATTTGTTGCCGGCCGTTGCCGATTTATTGGCTGGGGCGTTGGGCTTGGCACAAATGCAAACAACTATCGAGGGCATTAGTTCTGCAGATCTGTCGCAGCTCATTCTACTACCGACCACGCTGCTGGAGACCCTCTTGCAGCAGGAACGCGTGGCTGAATTGCTGCGTCAGCCCGATGGTCGCCAGCTCCTACTCAACCTCTTGCTGCAGCTCTCCCAGTTTGCGTGTCTGCCCGCTCATTCCGGTGCCTTTGGCTTGGCGGGGCTGCAATTGTTGGCTGGCATGTTGTTCGAGTATGGTACTGCCTGGGAGCTGAATGCAGATCAAGCAGCCGAGGGTGCACAAATGACGCCACTCCTGACCAACGCGCTGCAAGGTTTACAGCAGAGCAACCCGATCCCAGCAATCTGCAGCCGAATCGCCATTCAATTGCTCGAGCTCTGGGGCACGGCATTGTGGCCCATGCTGGAGGCTACGCATGCTGTCGAACAGGTGGTTATGGCTTTCCAAACAGGTGTTACGCAGGCGATTGAGGAAGCCAAGGCCACGTCAGCCAATGACCCCGCCCTCTTTGACAAGGCGCTCCAGGCTGCGCTCCAGGCTGCGATCCTGGACGCTAACGTGGATAGCGTGCCCACCGCCACGCTGTGCGCCATGGTGGTCCGACGCAACGGTAGCCGACTTGCACAACTCAGTCATGTCACTCGCCTGCCCTGGCGGGTGGCAGCAAGCCTTCACGCCATCGCCAAGGTATTGGCTGCGCTGCTGGCTGGTGCACATGTCCCCGGGCTACGCCAACGCCTCGTTCTCACCTTTGTCACCTGTTCTGTCCTTGACCGCCTTCATCGCATTCTCCCCTCGCCGTAGCACGGCGTGGTGGATGCGGGGCTGTGTCATGCTGTGCTATCTATGACCCATGTGATGCTCAAGTCTTGTGCCCAACTGACCCACCATGCCCTGCAAGATGGTGCTTCGTATGTTGCCCCAATTCTCATCTCAAGCACGAGCGTGCAATCTGCGTCCAGTCTTGACTCATAATTATGCGTTTGTGTGCTTTTTTGCTAGATCATCGGTACGGGAAGCGGCCGAAAAATTTCTAGATCAGGCATCTTGTATGGCCCAGGAAGTCAAGTCCATTCTCAATTTAACCTGCCATGCTTCGGCTGAGGTACTTGTTTGTTGCTGTTGCTGCCACTGACATTGTTGCGCTTGCAAAAGCGTTTCTATTGAGAACTGGAGATGCCGCCGTTCAAGCTGGCACGCGTGTTCTAATCTGGGCGACCTGCACACGCTGACCGCGTAGGTTGCACACGATGCCGTGCGCTGCCTGGGGCTTTTGTTGCAGCTGTACAGTGATCAATATCATGCATTGGTGCGTGAGGAGGAGCTCAACACGCTGAGCGTGGCCCTGGGGGCGCTCCCGATCGCAGATGCCATGGCCATGGTGAAAATGTTGGTTCGGGCACTGCGTTATGATCACGGACTGGCTGAAGGTTTCCAGCAACATCAAGTAAGTCGGTTCCTCCCGCTTGCAAAGAATGGCCGCATGGTCGGGGCCGGTCGCATTTGGAAAAAAGTCTGCATTCATGATGTCGGGTGATGCGGATGATCCGACAGGGGCTGCAATCTGCCGTGGCGGCGCTGGAGCAACAGCCCGCATTGCCAGACCGGGATCGACTCGACGAGCTGCAGCGAATGCTTGGTGTGCAAACGGATGCCTGAGGATGCGCGAGCGAAGATTCTGATGACTGCGGTCGTCGCTGCTCAAAATTGCACCAGCTCGCGCTTTGTGAGCGCTGTTTTACTTGTTTGTTTGGTTGTTTGTTCTCATCTAATTTATCTGGCAACGTCCGAACTTGACCAAGGGTTGGCTGAAGCGAGGCGTTTCAATGAAAGAAGTTGATGGTGGCATCTTCGGTGGCGGCCAGCACCGATTCCTGTTGAAACTGCTCGCAGAAAGCGTGTGCCACGGCTTGCAAGCGCTGTTGGCTGTCATCGTGGCGGCGGTGATAGAGGATCAAGAGGCGCGAGGCTTCCTGGATGGTTTGATTGCTGGCGGTCAAGTATTCGCCCGACACATTCAAGATGGACAACCCGCTTGGAAACTGGGGCACCACTTCGCGTTGCACAAAAGCCTGAAACTCAGCCTCGGTGACCTCGCCAATGGTCGTGCCGTTGGGTGCCTGCGTCCGCAGCAACCGCGTCTCAGTTCATGCACACTCCAAGGCAAGCAGCGCCAGCACGCCGGGCGGAGCATTCTTACCTGAATGCTGAGTCCAAAGAAGAGCGAGGATTTGAGCCAGCCATTGTTTTGCAATACCCCACCGGAGCCGGATAGAAAGAAGAGCAGCAGTAGCAGCAAACACAGAGTCCATCGCCTCACGGCCCCGTGCCTGGGCCCCGCATACTGCGCCATTGCCGCCGCCACCACTGCCATCAGACACAGAAGGTTAAATGTTTTAAAATAATAATATTATGAAACTTTACAAGAATGCCAGTGCTACTGTGCTGCACTGTGCTGCTGTACATCTAAACTTTAAAAAGAAACTTAAACCATCGCAGAAAATTTACATCCAAATTAACGAATTTTTAGAAAAGGAAGTGTGAGAGGCATGGTCCGGTGGCTGCAGAGGGTGTGTGGAGGAGTGGCGGCCGTTCTGAGTGGTGGGCTGGCCATGGTGTATGGGAGTGCCTTGAGCAGTCCTGTCGAAGCGGTGACTGATCGGTGAGGCGCTTGGTTTGCCAAGGTGGCGTGATGCGCTGCCGCAACTCAACGATGACTGTTCGTGCAGGCAACCCGAGGCACGATGCTCGGCCAACGTGAATCGGCGCTGGCAAACTTTGTGTGAAAACGCGCGTGCCCTCGGCGTACAGGCTGAGCTGAGCCTCGTCACCAGCCCCCGAGGTGCGTCTGGCGTGTTCCTTTGTCTTGGGTGGCCTCCGCGCTGCAGTCTCAGCAGATCTGCATGTCACCCCTTGTCTGCTTCAGCGTATTCCATCGGCTCGTTGGCGCCCGACAAAGGTGCTATTGGTATCCCTGTCATTTACCTAGGGCAGCAGCCCGAGGATTTTGCGAACATTCACAGTACGTCACCTCCTATCGCTGCCAACGCTGCTTTGCCGTGGGCCACCGATCAGCCCTTTGGCTTGCTCATGGCTTGCGTTTTGGCACGGGGGTTCCAGTGTATGGCTTGTCAATGTCGGACCCCGGGGATCCACGGGCTGCACGGGCACGCGACCATTGGGCCCACAGTGATGAGGTGGGCTTGCGCTACCACGGCAGATTGATCAATGGACATGGCCCTGAACGTGATTGGAGGTTATCGGAGCGTCCACCTGACTCACTGCAACGCTCGCATGTGTTGGGTGAAATCCGCCTACGGCCCCAGGAGCTGCTGTTTATTGTCATGCATGAACACGCTCATCTCCGCTGCAGGGATACACTTCGACTCTTTGCCATCCAACAGTTTCGGATATGGACTTCGGCCTTGGGCGCCTACTTTTTGCTCGCACCACGCTCAACCATCTTCCGACGTGTTCGTTTGCTCGCATGCAACCACCTCGGCTCGACGGCCTGTGCCGAGTCCTTTTCTTGACCTCGCAGCAAGACAATGATTTGGTTGTTGGCTTTCAGGACACTGATTCGCTGGGCAAGTTATTCACCTGAACTGTGGTATTTGGTCTGGAATAGATGGCAGCGCTGGTGGGCTTGGCAAGCTGGATGCCCATCAACATGGCTCACAACGCCAATAAGGTTGTTTGTATTTTGGGGGTTTCTCATTGTATCGAATCCCTGCGACAATGGCTCACTTGAAGGTGGTCTGCTTTCGCTGCCTTCCATGCAGGAGCTGCGTGCAGATTGCGAAGCCGTCCGATTGGCACCGTCGCTGCTGGCAGCAGGTTGTGCATTGATGGAACGCGAAGCTCGCACAGCCTTGTTCAACCCGACTGCGGACAGCAACGACATCAGGGAACCGCCCTTGAATGTACTCACAGCTTTGACTCACTACCAGACACATCCTCCAGCTCTCGTGCGGAGAGACGCCCTGTTGGCTTGCCAATCGGCACAGAGCGTTGTAGAGTGATTGCCGGAGACAGACAGACGGACAGACAGACAGACAGACAGGCAGACAGACTGACGGTGTCGAGAGTATCGATCCCAAATGATGCGGCTGCTGGGCAGCAAGAAAAGGGCCAGAATCGGCCGACTAATGGATAAAACGTGAACAAATTTGATCCGACAAACCCAATCCTGAGGTTTTACTGCACTTGCATTATGTCGTGGATAGCAGGGTTTTCTTTGTTGAAAACATGCAACTGCACCGTTCACTTAAGAGAGGGTTGCGAGGACTTGTGCGTGCTCGTCCAGGAGTGCCAATGGCGAATAATAAAACAAACAAGAAACGCTGGATCATGTCACTACGAGCAGGATCCGTCTTCTAGGACGATCTGCGAGACAGGCCAGCCCATGCTTATCGCAGCTCATTGAGGTGCATGCGCACGGCCCACCGCAAAGCCGAGCGCTTCTTGGTAGTGGGGACCACGTAGTCCGAAGAAGTAGCGGGCTTTTTTGTTGGTTTGCTGGGAGGTCTTTGCTCGTTGGTCTTGCGCTGCAGAGCTTGGCGAGTATTCCATCGTACATCGTGGTGGGCGTCTTGGCCCGGAACCTTGCGATATTGCCAGGCCTGTCGATACAACTCCCCGCGTCGCACCACATCTTTTGGCCGCACCATAGGATCAAAAAGCAAGCAAAATGAGCGCATGCTTGTCAAAGGCGCTGTGCTTGCTTATTAAATTCCGAGAAGGGCAGATACCCGGAGAGGATCAACCTGACCTGTTTTGGCCTTGGGGCGGCGATGCTGGTAGATGACGCTGGTCCGACTGGCCACGGGCTCGATGGCCTCGACTGGAGCCACGGAGGGCAAGGCATGTCCACGGCGCCCGGCCAAGGAGTGAGGATCATAATCATCGTACATCTATCAAAGTGAAATGTAAAGCATGAGGCAGTTTGAAAGAGCAGCACATCGCTCGGCAAAAGCCTTTCCAGCCAGACCCGAGATGTGTGGCACACCTCAAGATTGAGCTCATCGGGAAAGGGGCGCAAATCGTCAGTTGCATCAGCATCTGAACCCTCTGCAGTGTGGTGTAGAGCCCATGGAGCGAGAGGGAGCGAGAATATTGAGAGGCAAAGTGGTGAATAAGAGAAACATAACTGTGCGGTGGTACTTGGATCAGGGCCAGCCGACGTACCATCCGTGGGCCATGCAGTTTCATCATTGATGAGGCGTAATTGATCCAACTGGGGTCAGGAGATGGTTGAGCAAAAGTTAGAGTGTACAGGCGTCTGGGGGGGCAAGTACGAGAGGCTGGCCAAGCCTGACCTGCTCAAACAATTGTTCGACAGCCGTTGCGGGCTCAACGGGGGCCACGTTCCCGGGGCCTGTGGGTGGTGGGGCCGGCGCCGACGGGATGACGGCTGTTTTGCGGCGGGATCCGCCTTTCATGGGTGTTCTTGGCGCAGCAGTGGCGCCTGCGTTTGTAGCCGCGGCCAAGGACTGCCGACCCCGTGGGAAAGACCGGCGTTCCTGGACTGCCTCAGGCTCTGGCCCGGGCTTTGGGAGGGGTTGTTGTACCAGAGGATCGCGGGCTGGGCCCGAGGCGCGAGGTGGGGCACTGTCCGCTTGTGTTGCTAAATCAATCAGATCTGTGAATGATCCCAGCATGCGGAATGAGTTTTGGGAATCAACAGCACAGCACTGACACGGCCCGCACACCCGCAGCACATCGCCTGGCCCAACCTTGGGTGAACTGAGCCAAGACCTCATCGGGCACATCGTAGTATCCGAGATACGCCAGCTGGCGGCGCACGTCACGCTTGGTGAACCAAGAAGGGGTGGGCAAAGGACCGATGGCGCCACCAAGCGGTGATGTGTTTGCGGCCATGACGGGTGAATGCAGCACGCACAGCCAAGCACGCAAGCCTGCCGACACCCACAAGACCCAAGCAGAGTATTTAAGACCAAACCAACAAAATAGCAGCTGCTTCAGCCATTTGCTTTATCCATGTCCCAGTACCCACCTTCCTCTGCCAATCGCCCTCGCGCAGGTCCCACAGGTCCAGACGAACGTTGAGCTCAACCGCTCAAGATAAAAAATCAAAAAAAAAAAAAATTTGGGCGTTGAAAATTTTCAAACTTTGTCAGATAAAATGGAACGAGACTTGCGTGTTGACAACAATGGTTGTGGACGGTATACGAATGATGATACACACGATACACATTTTCACAGCAACAACGCGTTTACACGTTTTTGCTGTGGACAAAACATGACCATGCATTTTCCCTCAACATAGGAACGAATTGTCTGACATTATCACTTGGCTACACACACACGAGTTCCGCCCCTTTATCTCCTCTCTCTCATTTCGTATTCCAAAGGGCGTGGCCCAGTCGTGTGTGGGGGGAGGGATCGGATTCATTCCGAGTGTGAAGGATCAACACGTGAGGGCCTGTCGGGCACGGACCAGTCGACGAGCGATTGAGCGGTTGTGGACTGGATTTATAGAATGGGCTGCCAACAGAGCCGCCCTCGGGTCCCTGCCGAGGATCAGGAGGATGTCAAGCGCAGCAACAACAACGCGGTGGAATTGGCCATGCCTGACAAGACCAGTGGCTCAATCATTGATCCCGACCTGAGTGATGATCGCTTGCCCCCCGTGGCTCCTGATACCGAAACACACCCGGCCGTTCGTGTCAAGGAAGCTGAGGACACCCCTGAAGCTAGCGATGAGGCCACCAGCAAACCCAACAAAGAAGAGGAGGCTGCTACGGCGGATCAATGTCTGTTCCCGCTCCTCGACCACTCCCGTTTGCTATTCGCCCCCCTCCCCCTTCTCCCTGTCCCCCATCCCCACTCCTGCCTCACGCGATGGCCTGTTTATCTTTTGACAGCTCAGTTCCTTGACCCCAAACTTAATAGCCGGGCCTTGCTGGGCGTCAGCGCCGCCTACCTCCGCGGCCTGGAAGCGGCCCTGCGCGAGGAGTTTGGTGACGAGTATGAAAACCTGACGACCACCGAGGTCTGCGTGCGCTACGTCATGCCCCGGACCAAAGCTCGAGCTTGTGCAATGATTGATGTCCTCCTCGAGGACCCGGCCCTGGAAGCCGACGTAGCCCCTGCCACCGTCTTCGTCTCTCATGCTTGGAAGTATAAATTTCACATGACCCTTGGGACAATTCTTCATCACGAGACCATGGATGCCCCGGGTGCCTTTTATTGGCTGGATCTCATCCCCAACAACCAGCACCAAGCATGCAACTACCCTTATGCCTGGTGGGTTCTGTGTCCTTGCGCCGGCAACTTCAAACTTGTGCCGTCCCTCCACCTGCTCTCATACCATCTATCTCACCTTGCCTTTTCCCGAGCAGGTGGTCCAACACGTTCCAAACCAACATTGCCACCATTGGCCGCGTCCTCCTCATCATGAGCCCATGGAATGACCCCATCCCTATGACCCGGGCTTGGTGTCTCTTTGAGATGATGAATGCACTCAACTGCCAGGTTCAGCTCGACATTCGGCTGCCCACGGCCGAAATTGAGGGCTTTCTCAACGCCCTCGGAGAAAATGCCGACGAAGTTCTCAACATGCTTGTGCGCGTTCAGGCACAAAAGGCTGAAGCTTTCCAACCCAACGACCGCGATATGATTTTCAAGACGATCGAAGACACGCTCGGCTTCACCAAGCTGAACGCTCGCATCAAGGACCAACTGCGCGCTTGGTGCATTGATCAAGCTCGCGTGGCAGCTCGTGACGCCTTGGCTGCTGCCCCCCAGTCTGACAACACGGCTAAAATCTGTTTTCGCGTCGGCAGCGTTCTCGGCGAGTTTGGCCAAATCCCCGACGCCATGGCTCATTATGACCGTGCCATTGACATTGTCACCTCAACCCTGGGTCCAAAACACCCCAACATGATCTCTCTATTGGCCCACAAGGCGCTTACGCTCAAGCAACAGGGCCAATACGACGCTGCCCTCCAATTATTCGCGCAGTCCCTGGACACTGCCCGGGCCGCGTTCGGCGATCAACACCCCAGCATTGCCTCCACCCACAACAACATGGCCTTGGTTTACAAGGAACAGGGACGTCTGGACGAAGCACTGGCCGCCTATACGCAGGCTCATCAGCAGCTGAGCGCGCTGCTGGGAGCCCAGCACCCAGAAGTAGCCAATGTCCTGAGCAACATGGCCGTCATTCACAAAGACCGAGGTCAATTCGCCACCGCCATTCAGCTCTACGAACAAGCCGCCAACATTCTCCGCGCCACCGTGGGTGAGCAGCATCCGGCCGTGGCTCACACCTATAACAACCTGGCGGTAGCCCTCGAGGCCACGGCCGACTTTGCCCGCGCACTGGACTACCATCGCCGAGCCCTTGATATTCGTATCACGACGCTTGGTGAGCGCCACGAGGATACGGCTGCCTCTTTTGGCAACATGGCCGTTGTTCATCAGCGGCTGGGTCACTTGGCCGAGGCGGAGCAAGCCATGCACCAGGCTCTGGCCATCCTGCTCGAGGTCGTCGGTGACAAGCACCCTGCCGTCGCCAGCACATTGAACAACCTGGCCCTCGTCTACAAGGATCAAGGCAAGCAAGAGGAGCAACTAGCTTGCTACCAAAAGGCATTGGCCATGCAGCTGGCAGCGCTCGGTGAACGCCATCCTGCCGTGGCGCTATCGCGCAACAACATTGCTAACATTCTCAACGAGCGAGGCGACCTTCAGGGTGCCCTCGAGGGCTACAACAAGGCCATTGAAATTTATACCGCCACCATCGGAGAGCTTCATCCCGAGACCGGTGCCGCGTACGGCAACCTGGCCACCGTTTATCAACGTCTGGGCCAGATCGAGCCTGCATTGGCCTGCGTCGACAAGGCCCTAGGCATCCAGATTGCCACCTTGGGTGAGCAGAATCCACGCACCGGACTCGTGGCCATGCAAATGAGCGGCATCTTGGAGGCCTGTGGTCTACCCGAGCGCGCCATCATCTGCATTCAAAAGGCTCAGGCCATCTTTCAGGCCACCCTGGGCCCGAATCACGAATACACCCGTACCGCTGCGGCTGCCTTGGCTGCCCATGCTCCAAATTCCTCCCCGGTCATGCCCACATCGTCCCCCAACGTTGCATCAGAAGCCCAAGATGATAATGAGTCTGATGCTTGATCTCTCGATCTCTCGCTGAGTGGCCATGGCGCTATTCACATTGAAATGGTCCCCTGCCACCTTCTGCCGATGCAGGCATTTTATGCACATGGCCCCCTTGCACATACACCCTCCTTAGCCATGCTCACGGCGCCCATATGAGCCTTTGCCCTCATCTTTTTTGAGATGTTCCTCTCCTGCTTTCTCAATTTGAAAAAGAATCCTTTAAATTGAATTTCAAGTTACCCTTTCACTGTTTTCGCATTCTGTATTCACGCGACTGACTGCATTTGCACACACACACACTCTCTCTCTCTCTCTCTCTCTCACACACACAGTGACTGCGAGCGGGAGCAGCCCCCATTGGCGTTTGACGTGCCGTGACGACTTCCGAGGGTTGCTGAGCTGTGGACTTGCTGGTACGTGCTGTGGAACTCGTCGACTGATCGGGAACACAGCGGAGAAAGAGCTTGGCGTGAGGAGGTGCTGACCTTGGGGTTTAAACGGTCATTGCTTCTTCCAAGAGTCGGCAATCGTTCCATCATGGCCAATCAGCTGCAGGTGCGCGCCCCTGGTCTTGGCCCCTCTCTGCGCAACGCTCGTCCAAGGGCCTTTGCCCACACCCCGTGCATTCTTTCATTGGTTAGGGCATGAATCGTTATGCCAAGATTGATAAGCTTGGTGAGGGCACCTACGGTGTGGTCTTCAAAGGTACGAGATCCGTGATCCGAGCCGAGCTGTCTGCCCGACGCTTGCAATCGTTCACAAGCGCTGTTGCCGCCTGTTCTCGCACATGACATTAGCCCGGGATCGCCACGATGGCTCCATCGTGGCCCTGAAGCGCATCAGCCTGGAAAGTGCGGCCGAGGTGTGTTGGAGCTGTCTCGCCCGCATGGCATTGCCCGTACGCACGCTGATCAGCACGAGAATGGGGCGTGTTGGCACGCCTCGGCCCTTGTTGGTAGGGAGTGCCAAGTAATGCCGTGCGTGAAATCTCCCTGCTCAAGTCCCTCCACCACCCGAACATTGTTCGGTACGGCTGCGTATGGCTGCGAGTATGGCTGCTGGCGTACCGTTTCGCCGTGCCGTTTCGCCTTCTCATGTATGAATGGACTGCTTGTCCAGACTGTATGACGTCCTGCACAGCGAACACAAGTTGACCATGGTGTTTGAGTACTGTGATCAAGACCTGAAAAAGTTTTTGGATAGCTGCCGAGGCACCCCGGAGCACCACGTCATTCAAGTATGTTGCGTCAATCATTGGGCCTGCGCATCAAACTCTGGTGCTCTGATGTTTGTGCTCATGTCCCTTGTTTCTGAATCTATGTGACTCCTTTGTCTGGAATCTCGGTCGTCCAGTCATTCATGTTTCAGCTTTTGCAAGGTATTCGCCACTGCCACGAGGAGCGCGTGCTTCATCGGGACCTCAAGCCACAGAATCTGCTCATCAACAAGGTCCGACCACAGAGCCTGCATCTGCATGGTCTTTTTTTCCTCAAGGACCCCTTGCCCCGGCCCCGGCCCCGGCCCTGGTCCTGGCCTAGCGATTTTTGACCTCACGCGTCATTGTACTTGACGGGCTTCAATGGCACTTGGATCTGTGGGTCTGATAGCGGGGGCAATTGAAGTTGGCCGACTTTGGCCTGGCTCGCCCGTACGGTGTGCCCGTGCGCTCATACTCGCATGAAGTTGTCACTCTGTGGTACCGCGCTCCAGACGTCCTTCTTGGTGCCACGGGCTACGATACCTCAATTGACATGTGGTCGGCGGGTTGTATCCTCGCGGGTACGATGATGCATGGCCGCTTGTTTATTTTCCTCTCTCGCCTCGGCCGTGTCTTGTTGACCGCTGGGATTCTCGGCTCTCATCTTTCGCTTCAATGTATGCAGAAATGGCCAACAAGGGCTCGCCACTCTTCCCGGGTACGTCGGTGCAAGATCAGCTCGACCTTATTTTTCGCGTTCTCGGCACACCCACCATTGAATCCTGGCCTGGACTGCACGAGCTGCCCAACTATTCGGGGCCCTTTCTGCCCCACGTCGACGGTGCGTTGAACTCGAGTCTCGCACGGCGTCCCAACGCTCCAACCAATATTTTTGCCCTGGCCGTGAAGATTCCTTCAGCACCTCATCAGCAGCTTCGATCTGGCTGCTCTGACACAGGCGTGGGCTTGGAGGCCGAGGTGTCCTCCCTCTTTCCCGAGGGCCTAGACCTCTTGCAGCAGCTCCTGCGCTACGTTCCAGATGAACGCCTGAGCGCCGATCGTGCCCTACGACACCGCTTCTTCGATGACATTCCAGACCATGTCTTGGAATTGTGTCGCGTCGATGCCTAGATGTTTTAGACCATGCTGTGCGAGGCAACTCGCAATGCGCGTCCGCGACGTGCCGCTCGACCAGCGACCTGCCAGTGTGTGCCAGCCATGAAGCGTGTCGCTGTGAGGGGGCCGAGAGCCCATGTAGTCAGGCTCTTATCGAAGGAGAGTGAGTGTTGAGTGTTGTGTGCGTTGCGTGTCAACCATAGACTGGTGATCGACCCCTCTGTAGCGCCGTGTTCCCCTGCGGTGCATGATGGCCATCAGAGATTTGTATAGTACTACCGAAAAGCAGAAGACCCAAACAAAATTAACATCAACAACATCGAGTGAACTCAACATCAGCCATCGGCGTGCGTGTCCAATCCGCCTTGAACCTTGGCACTTGCAAGCTAACCCTTGCACTCACACACACACACACACACTCACTCACTCACACACACACACACACGAACAAAATTCAAGTTCTCACCAAAAAAAAGTTTCGCATGACAGTGCTAATGTCAAACTTTTTCTTGTTGTCTTGATGAGAGCAACTCTTCTGCATCTTCCGCCTGCTTTGTGCTTTGGCTGCTGCTTGCCGAGGGACCTGAGGTGGCGATTGGAGAAGGGTGCATGGGTGATGAGCTAGTGTTTGACCCGCACGGCGGGATGGCCGCCTCTCATTTGCCGTCATTGGAAGATGACACGATCAAGCTCTCCTTGATTAACGGCCTGATCAACAACCTCTCCTCTGAAGAGCTGTCAGCTGAACTGGCCCGTCTGCGTGAGTGAGCTGCGGCCGTCTTCTCGCACCCATGCTTTGGTGAGCGCACCTGATGATGTGCCTTCTTTCTAATCACGGTGGCTTCATATTCTAGATCTGCATGACTCGGGCAACAAGCGCGTCAAAACTCGTCGATTGAAGCAACATGTCAAAGAAATTCGCACTCGGGCTCAGCGCGGGGCCAGTACTGCTCGTGATGACCACGCTGCCTCCGACAGCTCCGCTCGGTAAGGTCACACCCTTTTGTCAAGAGTGAGACCTAGCCAGGCAAGGTGCTGCACATTGCCACCAGCCCTATACCTCTCGCATCGCCCTGACCCTTCATCCCCATCCCGCACGCGCGCGTAGTCAACCGTTTGAGTTGGTGTGTGTGATGGATTTTGAGGCCACTTGCGAAGAAGAGCGATCCCCCTTTCCTCATGAGATCATCGAAATACCGGCCATACTGCTTGATGCCAAGAGTGGGGAACTGGTTCGTTGGCGTGATAGCCATATTTCTGCCGCTCATCGAACCTGCCTTTTACTGCCCTTGAGCCTTTCCTGACTCAAGCTCGTGCTCCCGGGGACCATGCAGCTCGACACGTTTCAGACCTATGTCCGACCCAAGCTCAATCCCCAGCTTTCCAAGTTTTGCACCAATCTCACCGGCATCACGCAGGACCAGGTGGCTTGGCCAATCGGGCTCGCACAAGGCAACACCCTCGCACAAGCTAATGTGCCTAATGCCGGCTCCCTCAGGTTGATGCGGCCAAGCTGTTCCCAGAGGCTTGGCAAGACTTTGAAGATTTTTTGGGAAAGGCTGTGTACGTCTCTGCCCCTGGGCAGCGTTGCCCATCGCATTGTCCCCGTCTTACCCTTAAACGCTACCATGCCAAAATTGCAGGCAAAAGTTCAAGGCTTCGCACGACGTGGACGACGTCCGGGTGTTGTGCGCATCAGATGGGTACGAGGGTCTTGGTTATGCCTGCTAGCTGTGGCCATCACCAGAGGCACCCATTCGCACCAAAGCCATGCCCTGTCTCGAGAAAGCTGAATGACAGTGAAACTGTTTAGACCATGGGATTTTCGTGACTTCCTGGCCTTTCAATGTCAGCTCAGCCAGATGGACTATCCAGCTGTATGGTACGTTTCTCTTGGCGAGCGTCTCAGGCCAGCATCCTGACACGCTATCAATGTGAAGTAATGCCATCTTTTTTTGGCCCAGCCAACAATGGATGGACGTGCGAAAACGACTGACGAAGCATTTCAAGCTCAAATGGGCTGGACCTGAACGTGCAGCCTACGCCACGGGTCTTGATTTCATGCTACAGGCCGTGGGGCTGACTTTTGAGGTGAGGCAAGGAAGAACTACTGCTCCGAACAAAGATTTGCCCTGCCAACAAACCTGGAGTGCGACCTAGGAGGAGTCGGGTGAGACCATAATCGGCTCACGGGCTGTCGTGTGTGTTTAGGGTCGCCCTCATTCCGGCATTGATGACTCGCGGAACATTGCCCGCCTGGTTCAAGTGGTGCGTGGCTGCCCGTTGATTGATTTGGCGTTCAAAGCTTGATGATGCCAGTTTACGCTGGCTGTGAGCATCCATCTGATCCTCTTCACGTTGCGCGCCTCTCTTCTCCCGCTTTTTAGCTGATAGATGAAGGCGCTCAGTTGAGTGTCACTCATGATTACAACCTTTCCAACTGCCAGATCGATCTAAACCTTGCCAAGGCGTAAACTCCCGTCACTCAGAGACATAAAAGCTTTTTTGAGTGCATGTTGACCTGGCTGCAGAGGCAAAAGGGCCAAGGAGAGTATCGCTTTGATGGTAACGGAAATGCAACTCAATTGCACTGACAGGCCAGTCGACTCGGTCAATCTGACATGTGTTACAAACACAGCGGGTGTTTCGACAAAGCCTGTTAATCTTGAGACTAAGTACTTGGGTCGATGTGGCTGTTTTGAGCGATTGGATCAGCTTTGAACGAGGTCTGCACGCTCCATGAGGAAAGCCTTACAGCCATGACAACAACATCCAGTCACTGCGGTTATCCCGCCAAGAGGATGGAAAGGGTCTCGCCCCCGTCGGCCACCAACGTTGCCATCCTATTCAAGCAAACCAGATACACACTGAGATTACATCGTCGAGGCGTTGCAAGTGCCATCCCCTTTCTTGCCACTTACCGATCACGATAGTGCGCCTCAAAGCGCTGGCGCGCCTGTTCAAACTGCATAATGGTCAGCTCGGGCGGGTTACCATCGGCCAGAAACTGTTGAATGTACAGGATAAACACCTTGGGCAGACCAATGCCACATGAGAGGAGAGCGCCAGAAAGGCGGAACCGACTTTGAGACGCTTGCTTTACCAAGTGGATAGACGAGCACACCAACCTGGTCAAACTGCAGCCACGCGTCCACAACGACACGCCCAAAGCAGGTGGCTGCGTCGGCTTCTCGGTCCAAGACAGCATTGGCCAGGGCCGCTTCATCTTCCAACAGCCTATGACAGCAGCCCTTGTCACAATTTGTGTGTGTGTGGGGGGGGGGGGGGGGGGCCCAA